CCGACGATATTGCAATGAAGGACACGATGTCGTTTCCGCGAAAGACATGCGTGTAGCGCTTTCAGAACGCCCTGTTCAAGGTACAACTGCCTCCGTGTGCGCAATGAATGAGACTCAAAAGACACTCGAAGTACATAAGATAGAAGGTTTCAGCAAGTATCACAATTTCAAGTTTGAAGTGGACGGAATTAGAGCATGGAGAGCTTATGGTGTTGGACTAGGCAAGTTTATTCCTTACCGAGAGGTCATAACTGAACCTCAAGGTCCTACTAGTCTCATTGTGCATGAGAACTTCTTTCCTCTCAAAGAAGCTCGAGTATATAAGAGAGAGACAAACAGTGAAAATGAACAAAGCAACGGTCTTTTCTCTTGTCTGAGCCCAGGTGCAACCGGGTGCAAGAAATTCAGTGAACTCGAAAATCACCTTGATGTTGGTGAGCACAGCCAAGTTCGCGGAAACTCTGATACGGTGTATGACAAGCTCAGAAGAGACTGGGCGGAGAAATTTCGTACTGTTGATAAGGACGAAGAAATTAGAAGCGTGCCTGAAGCAGTTGTAGAGGAACGTCACGAAAAGAATGAAACTGGCCACTCTCCCGAGTGCAGTGACTTGCAGACTGGATGGGCTCTACACAAGCCCCGAAACGAAGCTGTGCGTTTTCCTACCGAGGTTAAACAGTACCTAACAACGAAATTTAATCTTGGAGAAAGAATCGGCATCAAGTCAGATCCCGCAAAAGTGGCAGCAGATATGCGAACTGCAAGAAACCCAGACAGTTCTCGGATGTTTGAGAGGAAACATTGGCTCACAAAGGGTCAAGTACAGGAATTTTTTTCCAGGCTAGCGGCCTCGCGAAGAAGCAAAGCACATCGGGAAGCGCTCAATGAAGACGTAGAGGCGGAACAAGAAGAGCAGGAGAGACGAGCCACCCTGGAAGAGGTGGCCACCCACCTTGGTCCTAAGCACCCTATCTGCTATGATTCATACTGTTTATGTGACCTTTCACACGAGAAGAAACTTGAAACATTTAGCGTTGCTATGCTCAAGGACATGTTGAAATACTTTGAAATTCCTTTTAGTTCTCGCAATAGAAAAAAAATTCTTGTAGCGAACCTATCCGAATTTCTTGAAGGCTGTGACTGTAACCAGCCACGTTAAGGCACAAACCGCTATTATAGTAACCAACAGGGTTTTTCAACCTCGAATTCAAAAAGATCGTGGAGGCAGTTATTTTTCAAAAACTTGAAAAGACGTTTTAAGACCTTTATACTTTTTGAAATTCCTTTTAGTTCTCGCGATAGAAAAAAATTCTTGTAGCCAACCTATCCGAATTTCTTGAAGGCTGTGACTGTAAGCAGCCACGTTAAGGCACAAATCGCTGTTATAGTAAGCAACAGGGTTTTTCGACCTCGGTTCAAAAAGATCGTGGAGGCAGTTATTTTTCGAAAACTTGAAAAGACGTTTTAAGACCTTTATACTTTTTGAAAAGTCGAATTACATGTTTTTTTGTCAACCATAGGAAAAAGGTACATACGCGTGACAAGCTAAAAAACTGGCATTCACGCGTAGCCAGCGTGATGGGAAATTAACACTTTTCAGATGATTTGAATTTCGGCTGTAATGTACCGGGTGTTTTTAATAAAATGTGTAATTCTTTTAAACAGGACGCACTTTCGTCAAATAATTATATGCTTAAACTGAATGAAAAGCTTTTTCTTTTTTTGTTGATCATGAAAACCTACGACCAATTTAATTGAATGAAATTTTTTAAACGACTTTTTTTCGACTATTAAACTTCGCAATTCCTAGCTTCGTGTAGCATTTGGTAAGTTGTTAGCTGTTCACAGTTTATCTCGAACAATAAAGGCCACTTGTTAATATATTTGCTCTCTCGGTTTGATTTTCAGTGGGAAAGTTCGGAATCACCAAAATGCGTAAATTACGTCATACGCACAATTACAGTAAAATATTACCCAACTTTATCGAACTCTTGTGCTTCGGAATCAACAGTGCCCAAAAATGTTTT